TGTATCCACGTGTATTAGTATGCTTTCATGGTATCCTAGTGTGATTTCACGTTGAGTGTTTGTTTATCCGCGAACACAGTTTTGGGGCTAAGAGGACTGTATCCACGTGTATTAGTATGCTTTCATGGTATCCTAGTGTGATTTCACGTTGAGTGTTTGTTTATCCGCGAACACAGTTTTGGGGCTAAAAGGACTAAAAGTGGCAGGTAAAGTAGGAGTGACCCAAGAAAAGGGGTGTCTTTATCTGTATGTCCCTATTAAAGGAATGGACGGGCTAAACGTGCCAGAAAAGTCAGTCATGCATGATGTCGGTCTAGGAACAGGTTTTTAGTGTCACTGAATCCAAATCTTGTAACGTATTTTGTGTTCCTGCCCCTCGGGGCGCCGTGTTCTATTCTTCTCTAACAAGCTAGCGGTACTAAACGTGATTCACCTTGGGAAGATATCCTAACGGGATTTTTTTAGGGTATGGACACCATTTGTGATAGCTACAGAAATAATTGGGGATAGTGGAGGAGCTTGATTGATACATAGAGGCCTCTTTGAATCATGAGGGTGCCTTTGAGCCCCACAGTACTAGTAAAAATAAAGCCTACCAACACGCAATTCTTGATTAACGACCTGCCTTTGTAAAAATAAAGCCTACCAAGACGTAATGCTTGATTAACGATCTGCCTTTGTAAAAATAAAGCCTACCAAGACGTAATGCTTGATTAACGATCTGCCTTTGTAAAAATAAAGCCTACCAAGACGTAATGCTTGATTAACGATCTGCCTTTGTAAAAATAAAGCCTACCAAGACGTAATGCTTGATTAACGATCTGTCTTTGCTTGATTAACGATCTGCCTTTGCGATCTGTGACCAAATTCCTCGAAATAATTTATATTAAATATTGCACCACAAAGCTTTCTTGAGTGACACATAGAAATGATCAAATTTATGGAACATATAAACATGATTAAGCGTTATGAAATTAGTAGGACTTCGTGAGCTCAACCCATCCTTAAAATATTTCTTTTGTTCTCTCTGTAGGAAAACATGGTATTTAATTCAAAATTATAGCTTTTTTTTTAATAAAAACTCAAAATACATGTGAAATACTTCCTTTCAATAAGGACTGGTTCCTTTTCCAGACAGGTCCTCTAATATCAATATTGTTATACGGCCCCCTAGTTCGTGTCTTGCATCGCGAACATCACCACTCAAAGCTTGAGTAAAGCTAGTATTCAGTCATCCATACAAGTATGGTCCTCTGACAACATGTGAACAGTTAGATTCGATATTAAACTCGTCAGAAGAGAGATTGAGATACAAGATCTTTACCTAACTACCTAGACCTGTAGGCTGGAATAAATTCCTTGTTCTTAATCCAAGACGACTGGAACAAAAGCCATAATTGGCTATTGATTGATTTCTAGCGCTTTCCATTGGCTGCCAGGGTAAAGAAGCTTGGATGAAACATGCGCATAAGGACTTCATATTCAAAAGAAAAAATAGTGACTTTTTTTTAATCTACAATGAATTACATTTTTTAAAGAAACAAAATACAATAAACAATCGTATTTTAACATTTTTACATTTAACTTAATGCACAAATCCAGACATACACTCCAGAATCGATGGCTTGACAGCCTCGCTTTCAGAGTGCGTGGTCGATAGAAGGCTCGTAGCTAGAAGCAGCGGCTGTCACCGAGGTGTTCAGCATTTACGAAGAAGCCAGCGTCTGGGGCATCCAGTCTCTCGCACCTTAGATTCGACTTGCTTCATGTTTAGCTCTTTTGTTATCAACGAAGCTAGTAGGCGTGTGCGTATTTCACAAAGTACGAGAGAAAAGGTGTGGTTGATCATAGTGGTTAATAGTCTAGGGACAAATAACCCGACAAGCGAAAGTAACCCTAACACTAAGTTGTTGGCTAGAGAAGAGGAGGACTTGGAGTTTGAATAAGTCCTGGTAACTATAGCTATTTAAAACGGTTTGCTTTTTTTCTGAATTCCTAATTGAAACTTTCGAACGTTAAACAGTATCGTTCTAAACTTCAACTATTTTTGCTCAAAGAACAGTTCTGCTAACCCGAAAACATAGGTATGATATCATATTTGATTTCTTAAAATTAATTACGGCACTTTTAATTAAGAAAAACTTTGAGCCTCAAAAAATTTTAGAACCTTATGTTTTATGTGTTAAATGAGTTATGAGTTTAGCACTTAATTTAACTACGTTTCACATTTGATGTTCTGGTTTATGCAGCTATAGATGTGTAACTGTAGGAAGTTAAAGTTTATTAAAACAGTTTTTTTGTGTTTTCCGTGGATGACAAAAAACAACAACAGAGTTCTTGCATCGAAAAGGCTTTAGTTTTTCTCACGAAAAATCGATAAAAAATCAATTTTTCTCTTTAAACGAATCATAGAGTCTGTAAAGGATAATATAATATGAAAGATTTCCATATCCTTGTGTGGTTTACATTTAATAATATAATGGGAACTTTCAGTAGTTTGTAAAAGATATACATATCCTTGTGTGGTTTACATTTGATAATATAATGGGAACTTTCAGTAGTTTGTAAAAGATATACATATCCTTGTTTGGTTTACATTTGATAATATAACGTGAACTTTCAGTAGTTTC